AGTTTAACACTAAATGTCTTTCATTTTCTTGTGCTTTTGTAATTTTGTTAATTTATATTTTTACCAAATCTATTGGTAGACCAGTACATCAATTGTATTGACAGAGCTTATGCCCTACACAAAAATTATTAGTTTATCACCCTATCTTGACTGGAAAAGTGATGAGGATGGAATCACTTTTTATTTTTTATTTTGCTAAAGACAAATATCATGCTTGGGTTGTTTGCTGGTGCATTGATATTCATAGTAACATAAATTGAAAGAGATAATATAAACAACTACTAACTATTTAATCTACTATTTAATTAAAAAATGAAAAAAGGTTTTTTTTTTCTTTTTAAAGGCTTTTTTATTCAAAAATTTGCTTTTTCCATTACCAATTAAGATGTACTGTCCCTTGAAAATGACCAAAATCATAAAAAAAATATTTTTTAAATTAACTTGCTCATTTTGCAGTAACATACAAATTATTAATTTGAGCATAGAATTTATTAAATTAAAAAAATGTGTTCCCTGATTTTTTAACTGGATAATTATAATAAAGATAATAAAACACTTCCAGTGACTGTAAGTGTTTCTATCATTTTTTCGCTGTAAAATGATGGTTTTTATGGGTAAGCATTTTTTAAATACACTAATTTTTATGTTCAAGTTGATAGTTTTTATGTTACTTCAAAATGGGCAAGTAAATTTCAAAAATGATTTTTATGATTTTTTTGTTTTTTGCATGAGGATGATAAACTAATCATTGTTTTTATTAGGCCTATAATATATAGTATAAGAATACAAAGGAAGATTTGTATTGTATTTTATTTTTAGCTACTGTAGGAGCACATCCGTGTGAGGGCGCTAGTCAAAATTCCGAATAGGAAAGTGTCACCATATCGGAAAAAGAATCAGGGTCAAATGGGGCCTTTTCCTGGATTCTGATTGCATATTACAAAAAAACAAACACTCAGACGATGTTCTCCAATAATTTCCAATTCGGAAGACAGAATTCCCACCTTCCAAAAACATAGCAGTGATTTGTTTACAATGTTTTCTAATAACAACTCATTATCACATAAACATTATAAAAATATCAAAGATTAATATATATATATATATTAACTTTATGTCATGATATTTTTGATGTAATTTAATAAGACTTTGTGCACCAAGTGTTTAAATGCCCAGGCTAGGTAGAGTCTGAGCCACTCTGCGCCCTGATACAAGTGATATGTCATCGCGTAGCCTACCATAACGTGTGCAGAGAGAAAAGACATTGCGTCGAGGCTTAGCTAAGCTGTACACGTGGTGCATGCATATGATGACACATCCAAGATAGGCCAACATGAATAAATCTGGAAAATGATTATTTTATTAAATTTAGCATAACTTTAGCATTTCAATTAATTTTTGTCATCTAAACAGTAGATTACTCACAATGTGTTCTTTCCATTTAATTAATGTGAAACGATATTTGAAGTCAAGTGAAGGACACAACTTTTTGTGTGCTCCTAGCTAGTAATGTACCTTCAAGGAGACATGCCTCAATAAGTTATGGAAGCTGTCTAAAAGGCCTAACAAAAGTATAGATTTTAATGTTTCTTATGATCATTCTCTTTGTTCTGAAATCGGATATTATGTAACTGGAGTATGCTAAATCAGTTATTAAATTATTTAAATTTAGTAAATTTCTCTTTTAAGTGTAACAAACCATAGCAGTATAACTTCAAGCAAAGCTTTCACAGCCAAGTAACATGGTAATCTTTCAATAAAGTCATAAATCCTTTCTTCACAAAGCTTGTTCTTTTGCTCTAGATCCAGAATCAAAAGCCAGTTATCTTTATAATTTTCTAACAGCGGCATGTTATATCGTACATCAAGCGTTTTATAACAATTTTAGTCAGTATCATTCCTAGCTTCAACAGGAATTGTCTGTATTGTGTGAATGAAGACACTTCACGTTCCCTGATTCTTTGTAAAGGTGGAAGTACAATTCTGGTTATACTAATAATATTGTAATAAATTATAGTTTTTTTCATTTGCTACCTCGATACTAGTAACCAGGCAGTTACCATTATACAGTAACAAAATGTTTTTTATTTCAACATTAACTATTACTGTAGGCCTATGCACAACATTCTAAATTCATATGCGCTGGGTCTAAAGCAAGGGTCACTCAGTTACTCTGTAAATCATAATAAAAGGAGGGTGGCTTACATTATATATACTATATTTTTTTTACTTTACCAATAATTTACTACTAAAATTGTGATTTTTTAAAATTTTGATTAATTTAAGGGAGACCAAGACAGACCCCCTCTCTCCCTCTGGTCAAGAAATTTGTGCCAGATGCATCACATTTTCATTTTTTAGAGCACCTTAATTTTATCAACTTCACTTAAAGTTAATTAAATTAGAACTAGAGAGTTTTAATATTGTTATCATGAGTAAGTTTCCACACAATTAATATTTAACAGTTTGAGAGACACTGAACCAAGCATTGAAGAGCTTAGTTATGCCATCAACTCTTTATCCAATGGCAAAGCTGAGCTACTGAAAAAAGCTAAGGCTACTCTTTTACCACACTTAAATCAACTACTTATACAGTGCTGGAGTATATCCTGAATCACTATGTGGATTTACAGAAAAGTGCTTGACTATGGACGATTCTCACTTAAACAGCTGCAAGAGTAATGCCGTGAACAGAAAAAGCCAATCTACAATGTTGTTTTTTGTCTACCTGACAAAAGCTTTTAACATGGTAAATCGAGGAGGTCTCTTCATGACTCTAGAGCGGATAGGATGCCCTCCAAAATTACTCAATTTCATCAAAAGCTTTCATGAGAATATCAAAGCCTGTGTGAAATGTAACCAGAGTACTTCTCAAGCTTTTAGGATTAATAGTGGTGTCATTTAATTCTCGGTCATGCTGCTATATGCTTTCAAAAATATCAATGAAGGCATACGCCTATACTCACATTCCACCGGCAAATTATTCAACCCATCAAGACTCAAAGCTAAAACAAAAGTTAGTGAGATACTTGTGAGAGAACTTCCTTTTGCTGACAATGCAGGTCTAGTATCACACTCAAACATTGGTCTCCAGCAGCTAATAGATTGTTTTAACAATGCATGTAAAAAGTCAACACAACACAAAGTCATCAACACAACGAAAACTGTTGTAATGAGCCAAGGCACCACAGAACCTCCTAAAATTTACCTCGAGAAGAAGCTGCTCGACTTGTTCATAAATTCTGTTACCTTGGTTCCACCATATCTGACAGACTATCACTAGATAATGAATTAAAACCCGCAGATAGGTAAAGCTGCAACAACTTTTGGACGTTTATCGGTAGGGTTATGGTCCAACAACAAACTGACACTAAACACAAAGATCAAATATACAAAGCATGTGTACTCAGCATTCTGCTGTACAGCAGGGAAACATGGACACTATAATAAAAACAAGAAAAAAAGCTCAACGCATTTCATGTTAGATGTCTCAGATGTATTATGGGCATCTCATGGCAAGATAGTGACAAATGTGACCCAAGCTCACAAATGGGCTGTAAACTCGCACCGCACTATATTGAGAAACAAGCCTCCATAGCCAGAATAGGGCGTAGAACGTAAATTTTGTGTGAATTAGGTTTTGGTGTAATAAATAAAGTATAACTTTTAATCTTACTATTTCTGAAGTTTGAGTTTAAAATTCCAACTGTAAGAGGTAAAATTTAGCCATTTTCGGTTGGGAGCTTGTGAAAAATGAATAGAAATCTGCTGAAAATAAAATCTCAAAACTAAGAAAGTGGATAAGATGACAATTATTTAAACGGTCATAACTTTGCTTCCAGACACCCGATTGAGTCCATTTAACTGTCATTTTAAAGTAAATGATATGTTCTATGCCATTATAATAAAAACTCATTTTAGCCTGAGGACGAGGTTACAGCCCTTTTGTGAGCTTGGGTCACAAATGCTCGAGTCCTTGAGCAAGCAAACATTCTCAGTCTTATTGCAATAACGAAGCAGAGACATCTTCATTGGCTGGGTCATCTTCTTCGTATGCTTGATAGAAGACTACCCAAAGACATACTATTTGGTGAATTCACATCAGGTAAAAGAGGTATTGGATGACCCATGCTGAGATTCCAAGATGTCTGCAAGCATAATATGCACTGACACTGACACTAATTCATGGGAAACTCTTGCACAAAACAGAAATGATTGGCACAGTACCTTACATGAAGATGCCATCAAGTGTGATATTAATTACCTAGATATGATCAGAGAACGTCGTGAAAGAAGAAAACAGAATGTGTCACAAAATGATCCACAAGGGAATGTAATCGTGTTTGAAAATCAAGAATCAGACTGTTCAGCTTGAAAGGAGCTGCCCTAGCAACTAGAGGTAATATGAGCTACATTGCTATAAACTGGAAAACACATTCTCACCGTCTGAACCTGATGAATGGGTGCCACATATACTCATTATTAACATATTATATTTTCTTAATAAAAGTATAAACCTGAAAATTAGGTTTAAATTTCTTTGAGCCAAGTACCAGATAAAACATTACATAATTATTTAGCAAATTACTACATTGATAAGCATATTCCTATCTTGTTATTAGTATTATAGTAGCATTAAATATTTACATGTATTTTATAAAAAGAAAAGTATTTTACTAATTTCACAAATATAACTGCCCATACTACATTTATCATGTACACTGCATTTACCTAACATTCCAAGTTAGTGGAATTTATTTTGCACCAAATGAATCCAAACCACTGGCCCACCCCTGACTACTACAGATCAACAAACATAAGGACAGACATGGAAAAAGCAAGGGAAGTCAAATTAAAATAGACTTAAACCAATTCTTAATTCTGAGAGGATGGTACTGTACCAAATCCAATACATGCATACAGTAACATCCAATTAGAATTAAAGAATAAGTTTAAGACTGGTGTAGCAATAGCCACTGCCATCAAAACAATATGCCCACCTGGTAATGGTCTTCGAAGACCTTCCATTGGGCGATTACCCTGCACAGCTGATCTTGATGAATCAGGAATCGGCTGATTCCAGACTAAATAGTTGTAAGCATCCTGTGCTTGGAGTTGCTGCAGCTGTTGAGGCAGGAGCAATTGTCTTGCTGGTGGGGGTTGCTGTTGATGACTAGACATTGCACTTTCGCCCATACCATCTGCTGGTCCACAATATCCTAGAAGCAGATAAATTTCTTAATTTTAAACAAATTTATGAAGGGAATAAGATTAACAGAATTGTCAGGTATTAATCTGATTCTATTTGTTGTCATACGATATTACAAACTTTTGAGGTTGTCGCTTACAGAGGTAAATCATAAGAAAAAGTTTGAACTCAAAATGTGGTCGCAGTCGCTTACGAAAGATGGTGGCTTACAAGAGGTATCAAATGCACTTATTAGATAGGGATAACAAACAGGACTACTGTATATGAGAGAGAGTGGACATTAAGTGAGGTGATCTCTTACAGGAGGTGGTCGCACAGGGTAAAACTGTATTATACCAGGGAAAAGTAATCCACTGCCATCAAAATAATGTGCCTTCCTTAGGATGGTTTTTGAAGACTTTGCAGCGCAAGTTGCTGCAGCTGTTGAGGCAGTAGCAATTGTCTTGCTGGTGGGGGTTGCTGTTGATAAGTAGACATTGCACTTTCGCCCATAACATCTGATGGTCCACAATATCTTGGCAACAGACAAATTTCTTAATTTAAACTTGTTTATGAAGTAATAACAACAATAATAATAATAGTTGGATTTGTATAGCGCATCATGCGAAAAAGCCTCTATGTGCTTGGTGATTGACATTGTGAAAAAAAGTTGATGTTATCCTATGAAAAAACCTATTCCTTAAACTAAAGCATGGTTGGCCGTTGGCTCTGAGGAGTTCATTCGCCCTTTGTTCAGCTGTTTTTTTTAATTGCTGTTGGGTGTCCATCCACCCTCCCACCGGCAGCCGCTAAGACCACCAAATGGGGTTGCCGGAATTAGTCGCCGACGACTCGACCGGATGCAGTTTATAACGTCGTACCCAGGACACTATAATGTTACACTACACTTACATACGCTAAAATACACTTACTTAAGTAATTGGTTAAAGTATCGAACGGAGATTCAGCATGTCGCTTATGTACATTGGTGAAAGACCAAGAAGAGCTTCGTATGTAATGAGATTTATCTTAAAAACTATCCTTTGTTTGACTGGAAGCCAGTGAAGGTGATTTAGAATAGGTGTGATGTGATGAAAACGTGGAGTTCCAGAAATAAGTCTAGCAGACATATTTTGAGCACCCTGCAGTTTTGAGATTAATTTATCAGGAAGGCCATATAGAATGCTGTTGCAATTGTCCAACCTGCAAGTGTTGAATGCATGGACAATCTTAATAAGTGCTTGTTCGTTAAAAAGGTGGCGAATGCACCGGATATTTCGTCCCTGAAATGCTATAGATTTACAAATACTGTTAACATGCTTCTCCATGCCCATATTGGAATCAAATAAAATCCAAAGATTCTTATACTGCAGTAGATGGAATAGCATCAACATCACCAACTGTAAATCTGTCAATAGTTGGAATGCTACTTCTATGTTTAGAATGAATGTAGGTAAGAATGGCCCCGGAAAAAATGGCCCCAGAAAAAATGGCCCCGGAAAAAATGGCCCCGGAAAAAATGGCCCCGGTAAAAATGGCCCCATATGACAGGTAGGTAAAAATGGCCCCAA